GGGAGGGAGAACCGAGCACAGGGGAAAAGGTGTCCAAAATAACCGCCGCGTCGTTGAGGACATCGGCAAGGAATCGGTAGCTTTTAGCTTCTGGAACAAGTGAAGAACCAAGGGCGTAAGCACCAAGTATTGCTGGGTCGAAATTTCCATCAGGGCGCCTCTTTCAAATGAGGTACGAAGGCCTGAAGCGCAATGACTGACTTGTGAAACGACCAAAGACATCTTGAACGACAGTGAGAAGCAAGGCATGCGTAGCCGTCGCTGACGGGTCACCCACACCAAAGCCTATGTGTGTTTCATTAGCTTGATAGGAAGACGAAATCGTCAAGTTAACTAACCTTCAAGGACGGCTCTGGACGACAGGAGGGAAGCCAAGGAATTACAAAACGCCTGTAATGCGTTCAGAATCTGATACCTGACAATTTATTTGAAAGGGTGTGGGCATATGGCCAATGACTGCGTACCGAATGTAATCTGAGATATGGGTCTTATTACCAGGGGTAAATGAAATCTAGGATGGGTGCAAATTACCTGGTGACACAGTTTTGGGATATCCGGAGGGAAGAAAAACCTTCTTAAGAAGGTCCGCAGCGTGCTCCTGACTCGTATTCCTGCTCGAGTCGACTTGAACAATAACCTTGTTGACATCAAGGTTCGTATCATGAACTTCACAAGCCTGGTCTGCTGGGAACACCTACTTTGTTTTTTGACACTAATGTTTTTCTATGGCGGCCTGCGTCATCTCTCTCGACTATGGCAAGGTCTAGGGTCATCGGTTGCTGAGAAAATCCAATGTTAGAGCAGGTTTCTCTCAAATTGCCACGGTGTACGCTGTACTGCTAGTAGGCCAGATTCTGAAAAAAAAAGTCCGAGTTACATTTATCATTCTTCAAGCGACTAAGCATAACATACCAAACAAGCGGTGAGAAGTCGTAGCCTCTATCCAAACGCCAACGCACGTCACTCGTTCTGTTGGAAACGCGTCAAAGCTCGTCGGAGCCGCTCAATGATGGTTACATAATGATGAGAATTATACGACGAATCATGGTAGCAACTGCTTCACCCAACTTTTCGTTCGATAATTTGCCTCTGTCTCACAAAAGCCGGTGCCTATGGACAAGGCTTGCGCATCGAATTTGTATCAGGCAATTATAATAAAGAAACCTTCAGATAGTGGCCCCTTTGACATTTGCTCCGATTTTCCACCATCCGATCGATTCACGAACAAAGGCTAATCTCGTTTCAATGTTGGAGCTGTTCACTTAAGGAACTTGTGGCCTAGTAATCGCAGCAGTACCCCATATCCCCATATGAATCTTACGAAAACGACTCGAGGCCGAAGTGGTACCCCAAACTAAGTAAACCTTTTGGCAGGTCACCTTGGAATGCATTCCTTTCTATCTCTCAGTGTTTTGTTCGGGTCCCTTTCGTACCTTTGTAAATGACGGGACCAAATGGCTCAGTGGCTTATCATTTGTCTGGTTTTTCTGCTGGCGATTTGTTTGTTCGGTGGTGAGTATGGGCCTCGGAGATTGATGTACTAGTAATCCAAACTTGTGACCCCGATTACTGTCTGTTTATCCAACAAAGGCTCTTTGAAGGATTCTGTACAACTGTTATTGGCAAATATGCGTGGGCTGATGAGTTCCTTCTAAATTCAAACAAGAGCTTAACCGACGCCACAGATGATTACTCTACTATCAGGCGATGGTTCGCCAACCATTTGGCGCTTGCCTTGTTACCTCAAAGGGTCCGACACCTCTGAAAAGACATTTATAACACCGTAATTCGCCTTTACGATCCAAATGGAGGCTTAGTGGTGGCATCAAGGGTTTGTCATAGGACATAGGGTTTGTCAAACCGTTCTTTTTTCAAGTATAAATTCAACTGATGCACGGGGATTTATCCTCATACATAACACCATCAAAGAAACTCCTCGTCCAACAGACATCGCAAATACGACACTATGGAATCTCTCAGCAGTCGAGCTCACTCTATGCGGGTTCTATTCGAGAATGGGCGCTACGGAGATGCTCGTTACGATTCTGCGACACTTCTGCGCAACCCGAGTATCTACGCAAATGTGTTGCAAGACCCCCGCGTCTTCGTCTTCGATTGCGCCCAGGGCCGAAAAGAACACGAGCGGTGGTTAAAGGACCCCAACCACCACATATATGTCAAGCACCTGGTAATCGTGAACTATGACCCGCACGATGCTCAAAGTTTCAAATATATTGAGCGCGTGGTTGCTAGTTCGGTGCATCTTGAATCCTTCATCTGGGAATTTTCGGCATCACCACCTCGGAACTCCCCAGATTTAAAGGGCGCTGTTGATGGTGTCTTCAGCAAACTAGGGGCGTCGCTTACTTTCCTTGCCACTTCATACTGCCCACAGCTTGCCGCTTTGTCGGCAAGCTGCCCAAACCTCGCGTGTCTTCGACTCAGCCATGCCTACCGTCCGGTTGACTACAGGGATTCCCTCAGTGCGTCGGGCCAGAGCGTTCATGAATTATTCTTCAACAAGCTAGAGGTCGTGGAATTTGATCTGGATTCGCTAGAGGCACTTAGATACATTTTGAATGTCCGGTATTCTATCGGAGGGTGGGAAGGCGTCCACATCCTAGGTTCCGAAGTCAACGAAGAAGGTTCCAGAAAGTTTTTACCTGCCCTGGAGGAAGTTGCCGTTATTGCTCGTCTTGATCCTAACACACACCTTCCGAACTACTCCCACAAGGACCTTGGGGAACTTATCGAGAAACTAGCCGATGTAAGCTATAACGGAATCCAACGGCTCTGGTTACACGACTTCACTGCAGGTATGTAGATTCAACAGTCACGACTTGATGGTTTTTCCTCATTGTGTTTTATTCAAGCGGGGCTACCAGTGAGAACTTTGGGGAGCCTGACACACCTCGAAGCTTATCTGCGTTGCAACGACGATCACACTGCTTTCTCTCGAGACCTATTGGTCTTGTCGCGCACTCTACGCAACACCACAGAACCTCTTGGACGAGAAATTCCCAGGGAGAGAAAATGCAAAGTATCGATTACCATGAAATCCAAGCCTGGCGATGAACGTGACATCCCAGTGACCGCGAACGCTTTGCTTCGCATAGAGGCGACCATGGATCATGTTAACAATGGCAAAGACCTCGCTGTCAAGTGGCTGACAGAAATCGTCGTGGGTGATGATGGTCAATATGCGAGAGTTGAAGACTCAGTGGCATCGAAGGTGGTGGCGACATACAAGGAGAAACAGCGAGGACGGATCCCGACACCTGGCTTCGAAATTCGCTTGGAGCTGGATGATTAATCAGTTCATTGCAACTTTTTTGAGTCTTTTGGACTTAGTACCGATTTTTATCATTATGAACTTGTTGAATAGAATATACATCTTTGATCATGAAAATACCTATGCCTTGACCATGAACGGCGACAGCTCCTAGACACTTCCTTGCCTCTTGCGAGGCACTCCGAGTTTCTGAAGTTTCATCCTCGACCTTAAAATAAACCAAAGATGCTCATAAGTATAGTTCGACCTCTGCAATCATACACTTCGCTCTCGTGAAATTATATCCAAAAAAAGCTCTTCGCAAGATCTCTATGCATACTCTCTTCGAGCTTGACATTCGCCACTAATGGCTATTATCCCGCAAATCGAGAAATTACGCTTCTCCCACTGTCCCAGATCATCAGGTTACAGGCACCTACCAACAGTGACTGTGGCGGATGGAGGGATGATTTTAATGATCGCGGCGAACATCGGTTGATAACCATGGGGACACCACTGTTGGGATAGATATTGGTTCTGCGGGTGATGTCGATGAAAGTCAAGTTGGATAGATGCATGTTCTTTGCTAAGTAGCGAGATCGGGAATGAGTTGAGGTCTATGGTGGATTTGATTGAATGGTGCGGAAGGAACGGTAGAAACATAATGATGACGCACCTACGGGGCTGGGTAAGCGCTGTTCATGGGGCAACCCCAATCACAGAGTGTTTATTTTATCAGGGAGGATAAGACTGATGTCCAACAGGGAGGGAGGAGTTTCTGAGAACCCAGCTGAGCGGACAACAACCGTCGGTCCAAGGATACGTTATTGATTCGAACTGAAGGCATTGGAATCTCGGGAAAATAGATGGATTGGGGGATCTGTATCAGCTCTGAGAGATTTCAGAAGGCGGTGCGCTCCCATGGACAAAAATACGAGGACCGAATCACATCTCCGTCTGAGGGACAGGGTATTCCAGGTGATGCGTCTCAGCTTGAATTCCTCAGCATGAAGGAGATCCGGAAGGACATTTTGTAGCACCTTGTTAATTGATTTCCTCACAGTCGATAACTCCAGTTGCCATGGGATTCACTGAAATTGAGAGCATTAAACGTACGGCGCTAACCTGGATCCTTGATACCCAAACACGTTGACTATCCTGTCGGTGTGGCATCCCACCTTATAAGCGTAGTGGAGACTTTGTCGGTTGATGCACAGAATCGGGGAAAAGCCAATACCTGGAACGAGCGCACCAGGAGCGTGAGACAAGGCTGCACTGATACATTGTTATTTAGATTTGATATTCTAGCGTCGTAAGACCAAAATGGCATATGATGTGATCGGGCACTTCGGTCGGCGTTTGACAGTGATTGCCAACCAGCCATCCACTAATATGTTAGATTAGAATGTGGGAGCTGCAAAGCTTGTGTAGGTCAGTTTCTTGATATCTCAGACGCCATAGGAATACGGGCGACATTGAGATGACGCCACGCGTGTGGCGGTATGATACGAAAAGATAAAATTCGAATGGCAAATGAACTTCATGAATTTAACGTCGATTGAATATCACTTCATTGCATGCGAGGGCGTACTAATTGGGTTCCAGGATATAAAGTTTCAAGAGGCAAGATCAAGGCAGCGCTTTATAAATGTGCTTGAGATGCTAGAGGACGCGCCGTGTTGGTCGGTCAGATATAAATGCACAGGCAAAAGGTTGTCAAGAGACGACATTCGGGTACGGGGAATCGAACCCCGAGCTGCCGCGATCGTGACACGAGGCACATGCATGAGAGGCGGCAATGTTAGCCGTTACACCATACCCGACGATGGCATAAATGCACGAATGCCTCAATCGTGTCTGGTTGATAGTAGCACTGATGTCTTCAGCGAACGTTTCAAGGTGGGTCATGACGATAGCCGTGTATCGCATGTGCTGGATGAGAATATGATATGAATTCAACGACATTGAACAACGGTTAGTAGGTACATTGCTAAAATGGCAAAAAAAGCCTCGGCACCCGCGGAACGGTGAGTAGACGCCGGAAGAGTAAAGCGATGCCAGCGCGTCTAAGAGTCGTGTGTTTGGCGCAAGGCAGTATCAGTGGGAGAGCCATTGCTTGAATTGCACGTCAGAGAGGCTATTACCACAGTCGATGTGTCGCGTTCTACACGAGGACATCATGGGACTGGTCGGGGCCTGAAATAGGAGGAGGTGGCGATGTGAGTCAAAGGGAGAGAAGTCGCTCAAAGTGGGAGCCGAGTTGGTCCGACGAGTTCGAGTGAATGATTGTGGGGAACGATGAATGATAAGAAGAATGCCGCGTTAACAGCGATTCGAGCCTGAGGCCTGAGCAATTGCAGTAGGTGTCAGCTCATAGAGTTCTGGACGATGTTGAATGGGACGAAAAGGAGAAGAAACGACGAAGATAGCGGGAGTAGAAGGTGCTAGAATGTGATGTGGGGCTGCGGTGCTCTGCTTGCCGGCGCCGTGACGAAGACACGCAAGCGCGGCGGAGCTTACATAATAATCGTGACCACCTTGTTGTTTTACTCTTCTCTTGTATCTTTCTGTGGCCACAATTTCACTTTTCACAGCAACTACCATGCAGGTGGACAACCCCGTTCTGCACCAGCCCTACTTCTCCTCACCGTCGTCTCTCAACGACTTCAGCGACATCTTCAACGCTGACCTCTTCGCAGACGACATCGTCAACGGCACCCTCAATGCCACCAACTCACCCGCCACCGCCTCCTCATCTCGCGGCTCATCGCCTCAATCACCCTATCAATCCTCCCTATTGACACCCCCGCAGCCAGCTCCAGCTCACTCGTTTCCTGAATTCAACCCCTCCTCGTTTTTCAACTTCGACGACGAGATCCAGGCGAAACAGCTCGACCCCATGATGAGCATCAACAATGTGCCCTACGACTTTTTCGGTGGCTTTGCGGCCGCGGATATCGGTATCGATGGAGGGATGGGTCTGGACGTCAACATGGACATGTCTGGTATCAACACTGGGGTCATCACCGAGGCGATGGGCATAGATCCTCAGCTTGTCGGCACCCCTTCTGCGGTCAGTGATGAGGATCAAAGTGAACACATCGAAGATGTTGAGCAGGATGCCGACGTCTCCGAATCGCCTTCGCCTGAGGCATCAACGACGACAACGAAGGCGACAAAGGCGCGATCCACAAAGAAGAAAGACAAAGAACCTGAAGCAACGGATGAGGAGCAGGAAAAACTGACGCTTGTGATCCAACCCGTCAAGGCTGGTGGCCACGGCAAGGCTCGCAAGGGCACCGTTCAGTCTGGGGGCATCGTCAAAAAGACCTCTACTCCCAATCCCGTCTCTGCTACACTTGGCAAAGAAAATACATACAACGTCTCCGCTCCCTTCGTCCTCCCTCCTACCTTCACGCCAACAAACAAATACCAACCCACGAACGTCTATAATCACAATCAGAAGAAAACGACGAGCGAGGATGGAAAGGACGAAGACGAAGACGACCTCCCTCAGGACTGGCGGCCATCTCCCGAGGTCTTTGCAAAGATGACCAGCAAGGAGAAGCGGCAACTTAGAAATAAGATCAGCGCGCGCAACTTCCGCGTCAGGCGAAAGGGTGTGTATTTTTATCTCCGAGCTTCTCGTATATAAATTTTAATCTCGCTTGAAAAGAATACATCTCAACCCTGGAGGGCGACATCGCGGAACGCGACCGTATTCTTGACGCCATCCGTTCCGAGCTTGGGTCAACGCAGTCCGAGAACTTGGCTCTCCGCCAGGAGATCGCAGCCCTCAAGCGCACGTTGCTCGAGGGCCGTGCTTCGTCCACATCGCCTGACGGCACTGAGTACCCCCTCCTCAACCTTCCTCCGCCTGCACCCCTCCCTGCACAGAGCGCCGCCGCCACACTCCAGGCACAGGCTCAGCAGCAACAGCAGCAGGCTCAGCAACAGCAGGCTGCGGCTCTGCTTACACCCAACACCCAGAAGGACGCAAGCAAGAACGGCCGCTTCTGGGGTGGCGTGCGTCTCGGCATGGGTATGGGTGGTGTTACACCCGTTCATCGCGTTGTGCTCCCTGAGGTGTCTGTCGCGGATCTCCTGCAGAGCCAGTTCGCTCCCAGCCCTTTCGTGACAGCGAAGGACGATAAGTGGAAAGAGAATATGAATCCCCTCCTCAACGGTCTTGCTGTCCCGGCACTAGGGAAAGATAAACTCGAGAAGGAGAAAGCGGAGCAGGAGACGATCAACAAGAGGGCCTTCGTGGAGAAGGAGAAGACTCCGTTTGGGTTCGATGGGTTCGCGGATGTGAACCCGTTCACGATGAAGACAATCGATGCTTACAGGATGCATCTATGGGGAAAGATGGCGTCGCAGCAGCAGCAGCAACATCATCAGCAACAGCTCCTTCAGCACCAACACCAGCAGGCTGTGCACCAACACCACCTCACTGGCCTCGCGTCGTCCCTCCGCCCAGCGTTCTTCTCCAACCCTACAGCCTCTTCGCCCCTTGCATCGTTGCTTTCGGGCAAACACACACCCCCGTCCCCAGCCCCGCCTTACTCCCACTCCCACTCAACCACTCCGGCTACACCGCCCCCGCCATACTCGTCCCCTCCCCCGTCGCCTGTGCTCCTGGGCAAGGGCGTCGTCGTCGAGAAGCTCGAGCGCGAGAGGAGGGAGATGCAGAGGGAGAAAGAAAGGGAGCGCGAGAGGCTTATGGAGAGGGAGAAGGAGAAGGAGACCGCGATGTATGCAGCCCTCGCCAGCCAGACTCTGCTCCGCAAACTCGGGGGCGCATTCTGGGATGCGTTCTCGGGGTCGTCACATTCGTCGGCTCCTGCGGCTGGGGCGGGCGCTTCGACGTCCAGTGCTGGTACGAGGTCGTGGGATGCCGATAAAGTCAGGAAAGTGTTGGAGGGTAAGGCGGTTGTGAGGGTGGTGGACATTGAGGAGCCGCAGGTCAAAGTACAGGAACAGCCTAAGGCGCAGACGCAGCAGAAGGAGGTCCAACATTCGAGAATCTTTTGTCCGGTGACGATGAGTGCGACGGCGGAGTTATTGGAGGAGAGTATGAGGAGTTTGACGCTCAATAAGAAGTCATGAGCGGTGGTTGATGTTGTAATTTTTTTTTTGTGAACATTGGAACTGTACGTAAGGTGAGCACTCTTTCCTTCCTTCTTTCTTTTTGATGAGATATGATACTGACTGACTGTTATGTCGTACAGTGATTAACGACGAAGCCTCCTTCGGTGTATGATACATATAACAAGATCGTGATATAATACTTTAACCCTTTCCTCTTACCCCTTTCTTTTCATCGTCTCCTTTGGCCATTTGCTTGCTTTGCCTGCTTATGCTCCGCGCCCTTTGATTCTCGACTCGCAATCATTCGGTATTTACAATGCCGCGCTACTTTCCTTCCCTTTCTTGACATCATCATCGTTCTCCCACCAACTCCTGACCTAATCATGCGTTCGTGGATCGAACTCTTCCTCCATGTCTGTCCCCTCCTTCCACTACCCCCTGTGGACCCCCCCCCTCCCCCTCTCAGCATTTGCCTCATACATCGTTGCTCTCCTTTCCTTTGTTGTTTTCTTCTTTCTCGACTCCATATTTATCTACCGGTGGCTCTCGCTTGGGCACCGGTATACAGCATAGCACTACATACAACTTGTAGTCATCGAATTCATCGTAGCATAGGCATTACATACAGGCATTTTCAGAATCTGAATCATATACCAAATTTACTTTTTTTTTCGTTGAATGAAAATTTGTGTGCAACACAAGGTGTGCCTTGTTTTGGAATGCTGTTGGCAAGACGGCAGGTCATGAAATTTTTCTGTAGAGAGCCTTTCGCCTCGGGTATGGTGTAACGGCTAACATTGCCGCCTCTCATACATAGCGCGCGGCAGCTCGGGGTTCGATTCCCCGTACCCGAATTTTTGAAGTCTCCTTTTTACAGCATACATTTTCTTTGGAATCAAAGAATTCATTGTACTTTACAGCTGTTTGCAGAAATGATGGCAGTCTCTGGCGGTTTTTGATCAATTCCAAAAATTTGGACTTCGTCGTTTTCTTCTTTTCTTTACCTACATTGTCAACATGGCTCGTCCTGCCAAAAAGTTGAAGTCTGCCGTACTAGATGCCTTAGATTCAATGCCTTCTTTGCAA